AAAAATTCAGGCATCATGCTTAAGAGTAATGGGAAAAACCAGTTATGGTGATACATACCTGTAATCCTCAGGAGGATTGAAGGTAGCAGGATTGAAATCTGAGTCTGGCATGAGACTCTATCAACCAGGAAAAAAGAAGGGCTGCGGTGTGGCTCAAGTGATTGGGCACCTGCTAGGCAAATCTTGAGTTCAGTTCTTAATACTGGCAAAAATAAGAGCAATGGAAAGCAAAACCCATGCTCTAAGGATTGGAGTGATTGATTTAATAGCATAAGAGACTGTAAGCTACAGAATAAAGGGAACCTCTGGGCTGGAATATGATACCACCAGTCAAAATAGTAGTGGAATAGTGAAGGAACAGCGACACAGCTAGATGTGTCATTGGCAGGCTGGGGAACTTGTGTTAGAGAGAAGTGTTTGGAAGTCTCCCAGGTTTTGTTTTTGTATAGCAGGATAAATAGGATACCTATTAGAATAGTACTTCTATGTAATGTTTATTTGTAAACCTAACCTTGCTTTTAAGTTAGAAGTCCTTTGGTGTCTGTTCCAGTTGTTCTCAAGTTAGAAGTCCCTCTGTACTCATTATAGTTTGGACTTGAAATGTCCCCAAAGACTCTTATGTTGCTTTGTCCCCAGCTCAATCTTCAGAGGTGGAATTTAGGGATGTGATTGGATAAGGAGAGCTCTGACCTCCTGAATGAGTCCAAGCATTGATAAAGGGAGGTGGTGGAAACTGGGGGAAGTGGGTCACTGGGGGAAATGCCTTTGAAGAGCCTATCCTGTCCCTGTCCTGATCTTTTTGGCTCTCTCGTCTCTGGCTGCCTTGAGGGGAGCAGCCTCCTGTGTTGAGTACTCCTGCTGTCATGATGGTCTGTCCATAGGAATGGAGCCAGCTGACCATGGACTGAAACCTTTGAACCCATAAGCCAAAATAAAAATTTCTTCCTTAAAAATTAAAAAAAACCCCACCCACTGTGTATGGTGGTACATGCCTGTAATCTCAGTGACTTATGAAGTAGGGGTAAAAGGTTTGCAGTTTGAGGCCTGCCTAGTCAAAGTTTTCTGAAGTCCCAAGGTGACAAAACAAATGTAAAAACAAAAACACATTGGGGCTGGGAAGGTGGCTCAGTGGTTAGAGCGCTTGCCTTGCTTGCATGAAGCCCTGGGTTCAATTCCTCAGCACCTCATAAACAGAAAAAGCCGGAAGTGGCATTGTGGCTCAAGTGGTAGAGCTTTAGCCTTGAGCTTAAGAACTGAGAGACAGTGCCCAGGTCCAGAGTTAAGGCCCCACAACTGAAACAAAACAAAACAAAACAAAAAACCCACCCTGAATCAAAAAGACTTAGGGAAGTGGGTTCAAGTGGTTAAGCACTGGCCTACCAAGTAAGGATTGATAGTTGCCTACTAACTCAAAGCTCTGGAGTTCAAGCCCCAGTATCACCACAAAGAACCCCCAAATATAGATTGTTTACTTGCCATTTTGTTACAGTGATATTAAACATGGGGAAAAGCAGGTGGAAGATGTGGGAGGCAGGCATTAATGGATGGTAGCTTAAGTTGGACACATCATAGCCCTTGAGTGCTCCATTTCTGGAGCAGTGTGTGTGCATGTGGGTGCTCATGTGTGTGTTAATAACCACAAATCTAGAAGACCCTTAGCTCCTTAATCATCCTTCCTCAGAGATAGAAAGCTCTGATGAAACATTTTTGTCAACATAAAATGTCATTTCTGGAAACGCAATTTTAGATGTCAGTGGCTTGCCTCAAAAATGTATTTTAAAAATTATGAAACATCCAGTTTTCCTTCAAGAGTAAATGACATTAAAAAAAGAAAAAGGAAAAAAAAGAAAACAGGGTTGCTGTTGACTTAAGTGCTAGAATAATAGGTGTGCTTAGGAAGAAGCTGATATAATGAAGGAAATGGACTGAAATCAGTGTTTAAAATGGGTGAAGCAATCCTACAAGGTGCAGGGTGAAACTTGTGGAGGTTGGATGGATGGGAGGCAGCTCTGTGAAGTTCTAAAGGCATCCAGGTAAGAAGGGAACAGGAAACTATCCCTAACATGGCCCTCACTTCTCTGGCTGGAGCAGTCAGTGCTGTGCATGACTACAGTTCTGTCCATTCATCCCTGTGCTACAAAGGGAGCAGGATGTGCCCATGCAGCTTCACAGGAAGAATAGCTATTCCCTGGAAGCAGTTTTACTCTGTGTTCAGAGAAAGGTATGAAGATGTTTCTCAGGCTTGGCAACACGATTACCAATGTCTGTGCAAGTTCTTGAGGGATTAGCACGAAACCATAGGTTATCAGGAGCCTGGATTCCAGTCTTAAACTTTGCACTATATAGTTTTGCCTATTCAAAAGAAATATACATTTTCTTACTATCCTGAATCTACATGCTAGAGTAAACTATGAAGTCTGCATTTCTATTCTGTGAGGCAAATAGCTATCTGAAGTGAAATCCTCCAGTTTGTGAAAAGAGCTATATTTGAGGTAATAGTCATACTGCAGGTATCAATACCTAAACAAAGCAATCTGAGATTGTGTCTAACAAATATAAGCCCATTTTTCACATTAGTGAGATACAGTTTTAAAAGCATTAGCGAATGTTAGGAAATCTAAACGTTACAACTGTTGGGGCTGTAGGAAAGAGCCCTGACCTGCATATAACCAACAGAATTGTCCACAGTGATGGCAAGTCAGGTCCTTGATTAGGTCATGTCATATGACACACTGTCTTGCCAGAAAACACAGCTAGAGTTCCTCTGTCTTTGCTAGCTTTGGAGCAGCAGGGCATGGAGAGACCCACAGCCAAAAGGAAATGAACTGTGCCAACCACCCAGAGAGCTTGCAAGTGTGTCCTCCTGAAGGAGCTTGGCTAGGTGGCCTTTTCCAGCTAAGCCTCCAGATGAGACCCCGGCTGACATCTTGACGACCGTCCTTTAACAAGGACCTTGGCAGAACCATGTCAAGAATTCAGCCTCGGGAACTGGCGCTGTGGCTCAAGCGATAGAGCGCTCGCCTTGAGCTGAAGAGCTCAGGGACAGCACCCAAACCCAGAGTTCAAGCCCCATCACCAAAAAAAAAAAAAAAAGAAAAAAATAAGAATTCAGCCTCCGTGAGAGAAAACATGGTTTGTTCTCAGCTGCTAGTTTTATGCTAAGTTATCACCCAACAATAACAAAAACAGATTTTGGTGTTAGAAAGGGGGCACTGCTGTCACAAATACCCAACTATGTTGGAGTGGCTTTGGGTATGCTCATTGAGCTGTGGGTAGAGGTGGGAAGAATTCTAAGGCATGTCATAGAGAAGGGAGGGAAGTTGAAAATATAGAAATCATTCGGTAGCATATAGCTTTATAAAAATAAAAATGCACTTATTGCTAAGGATAGAGAAACATAGAGAAACACATAAGCTCTTGTTTGAACATCTGGATAGACAGAGCTGAAGCAGATCTGAGTGTAGCACTTTTGGGACACTCTTTCATGTACAAAGTAATTTAAAAATATTTTTGGGTCCGGTCGTGGGGCCTGAACTCTGGGCCTGGGCGCTGTCCCTCAGCTCTTCAGCTCAAGGCTAGTGCTCTACCACTTGAGCCACAGCACCATCTGGCTTTTTTCTTTTTTGCTTATGTGGTGCTGAGGAATCGAACCCAGGGCCTCAGGCATGCAAGGCAAGCGCTCTACCACTGAGCCACCTTCCCAGCCCAGTAATTTAAATTTTTATCTGTCTATAAATATAGTAAAAATAGCTAGGTGCCCTACTCCTATAATCATGACTAGTTGGGAGACTAAGATCTGAGGATCATGATTTGAAGCAGTCTGGGCAGGAGAGTCTGTGAAACTCATCTCCAGTGAACCAGCATAAAGGTGCACAGCATAAAGACAGCACCCAGATTCTAAGTCCAAGCCCGGCACAAAAAGTATATACAATTAACAATACTTATGGATAAGCTGACACTCCTCTGCAGTAAAATTATAGAAATTTTATTTAAATCAAACTTAATAGTTTTCTAAAAGTTTTTTTGTTGTTGTTTAAGTCTGAAAGTTATTTAAAGGGTAACACATGAGAAGTGCCAGCAATGCAGGCAGTACCTCCACAGGGAGTAATTAAGCAATGTCAGCCCTATTTCCACCTTGTCCTGAAAAGACAATTGCATGAGTGGCAGAGCTATTACAACAGGCTACTGTGGCCTGGCACCTACACCGTTTCATTTGTGTCAGAACGATAGGTGACTCCTTGGTAGACTGAAAGCATCAGAAGCACAATCCCATTGTAGTAAAAGTAGAAATTTGAAAATAACATTCTGTAATGTCTTAAGTAGAAGCCATTGTATGCAACTAGATTATAAATGTATTTTGCTATCATCTTTAACCTTTCCAATGGTCCATCTCTAATCTCTCCAATGGTCCACACACTATACCCTGTATGTACTATTCTGTGTGTGTGTGTGTGTGTTATCCTGGGGCTTGAACTCAGGGTAGGGGCACTGTCCCTTAGTTTTTTTTGGGGGGGGGTCTGGTCGTGGGCCTGAACTCTGGGCCTGGGTGCTGTCCCTCAGCTCTTCAGCTCAAGGCTAGCACTCTACCACTTGAGCCACAGCACCACTTCCGGCTTTTTTTTTCTTCTGCTTATGAGGTGCTAAGGAATCAAACCCAGGGCCTCATGCATGCAAGGCAAGTGCTCTACCACTGAGCCACCTTCCCAGCCCTCCCTGAGCTCTTTTGTTCAAGGCTAATGCTCTATTACTTGAGCCACAGCTCTATTTCTGGCTTTTTGGTGTTAATTGGAGATAAGAGTCTCATGGACTATCCTGCCTGATCTCAGCCTCTTGAGTAGCTAGGATTACTGGTGTGAGCCATCAGCACCGAGCTGTATGTTATTCTTTATCAGCACAGAAAGGATATTTCTTCAAGGCAGATGGACTGAGGCTTTTGACACCATGCAAATATTAACTTTAAGGACAAACCACTGAAATTATTCAACGTGAAAAATGAGAGCTTTCAATGCATTTGCCATTTTTATTTTGCTATGCAGTAACATCATTCACCATGGGCTGTGATGTGGCTGACAGGGAATGGAGAATATATCTTTTCAAAGGCTATTTATAACTAAACACAAATAGTTTTAATTACAGTGGAAATTCTGTACAGTTTAAGGCTTGGCTCTGAACTAGATTGTTAATATGGACCAGATTTGGAACTAAAACACCTTTTCTTCAAGTCAAAAAAGAAAATGAATGAAAAAAATACAAGGAAAAAGAAACAAAGAAAGAATACAAAGCAATAGAAGCCCAACAGGATTTCAGTGAAATTCCATAATCTTGTAAACTAACAAAACATAGGCTTTCTTCCCAAAACAAGTGATGATTTACATATTTAGGGGTTGTTAGGAAACTCCAAGAAGCTTTCTATATTGAACGTGGACCAAAGCAAACAACAAGGAAGAAATCACATGAATGTGCTAAAAATTGGTACCACCATATAACAAATTAAATGAAATACACAAAGCAATATTATAAGCATTAAATATTTCCAGAGGGTCAGAGAGTCATTACTGCATATGAATGAGAATAATAAAACCAGGTGAAACAAGTACAAGATTCAAGTTGTTTACTGAATAAACTTGGTATTGGCACATCTAATCTGGAATAAACTTGAGATACCAGACCTAGACAGCTTCTAGCATTTTAGGGTAATCTTCATTTAATCTGTAAACCAAAGATTTGTCACCTAAGAAGTTGCCATTTTTTGTGTGTGGAGACTTTAATAACGATAAACTATGAAAGGCGTGAGTTGTTTATGTGTTACATGAGATCACGGTTTATATTGTCGGTTATGAACGTGCAGGTAAGAGTTGAAAACTGAGACATTTTGTGAAAATTAAAAATGCTGCTCTTTTGTAATTTTACCGTTGCTTCATGCAGTATCAGTTTAGTGATGCTGATTCAGATTGCTTTATTATGGGAAGATCTCTCTGTCAGTGTCTTTATTAATAATCAAGGTCAATTCTTCTGGAACGGAATTTTCCACAGACAGATACAAGTCAGTTGGGTTAGAAGAGGGAAGTCCATAAAGGCTCTGGTTTTCCTAATGGTTTGCATGACTGGATTCATGTGCAAGCTAAGTTATTCCTGTAGAAAAGAGATTTCATTAGTTATACATTTGAAATCTTAAGAACTTTGCTCAGATCAAGGCCACAAAAAAGTATCTTGGAACATTTTTGGACAAGATATTGTCATATTCCTTCCTAAATCAGTTTCCATGATAAGGCTTATAATTAATTTTTGTTTTGGTGCTGGAACTGGGACTTGCATTCTGTACCCAGGTGCTGTCTTTTAGTTTTTGGTTTTCTCGAGGCTAATGCTCTATCATTGGAGTCACAGCTTTATTTCTGGCTTCCTGTTGGTGAACTGAAAATTAGAATCTCACAGACTTTCCTGCTCAGGCTGCCTTTGAACTATGATCCTCCGATCTCAGCCTCCTGAGTAGCTAGAATTACATGAGCCACAAGTGCCCAGCTCTGTATGAGTTTCTTTCACATAATTGCAATGTCACCAAGTAGCTGAAGCCCACTAAAGAAAGTCTTTGTATTTCACCTTCAAAATAGATTATAAACTTGAAGATTGAATTTAGCATTGCTTTTCTAAGAGGTGTTACTCATCAATCCAAATGTTTCAGAAACCCTTTAGAGCACTTCCTTATAAAGTCTCTCCAGTGTTCTGCCCCATAAACACATGTGCAGATAGCAGTGCTGCTGTTGCATTCAGCATTCCAAGTGCTCTAAGGATGCTCATGGCCCCATGAGTGCTTGAACAGCAGGTCATATCCATGGCATAACTGTGCACACACAGACAACATGGTCTGCTCACCATGCTGGCCACACAGCAACTGTCAAGGCATGCACTTTCTAGAGGAGAACAGGACCACCAAAGCTATGTTTTGCCTCCTCCTGGGACATACTAGCACATAAATATTCCAAGGAATAAGTATTCCAAGGAATACAAGAAATATAAAGCCATCCAAAAAAGAAAGCAAGTGCTTAGGCTTCAAATTAACCACCCCTCCTCCAAACCAAAGCACAAACAAGCTGTTACCAAACATTGTTGAGTAAGCTTCCAAAGGATGATGTTATCAAAGGGAGAAAGCAGTGTATTTAATTTCCCTAAGTTGTAAGAACATATAGATTGCACCTCTGAGAACAAAACTGCTTTAGTTCTGATTAGGCCACATGGCAAGTGAAATCAAATTTGATATTTTAAATTTGGAAAATGAAAAAAAGCCTGGATTAAAAGAGAAGCGTGATGAGCCCATGCAAACGACGACTCTTGCGTTTCCCTTTTCCTCTAACTGGCAATAGATGCAAAACAGCTGCAAGTAGGGAACTTCCAAACCCTAGACAACTAGGTACTCACAAGCAGATGCTTCTTTCACTTAGTAACCAGTTCCACCAATGCCAGTAAGAGGAAAAGGGAGAGAAGGGATTAGGTGACAGATGGGAGGAAGTGACCCATGCCACATGCCAGGTTAGGCCAGCCTACAAAATCAACATCACCTCTTACCTCTAGTCAATCCTCTCCATCTTCTGGTGTGATTTCTGTCTCTTTATGGACCACTACCTTGGTCACTGACATGTCAGGGTGCTGCTCTTTGGCCTCTTTAATTGCCTGAGCCAGCGCCTATCCCCAGGAAATCACAGAAGGGTAAAAACAAAGAGGAGGTAGGACATGCGTGAGCAGTAGCAGCATGTAGACTTATGAGCTAAAATCCATACCCACAATTTACAAATGAGGTAACAGTGATTACGAGAGGAATTGAAAATCATTAATTCAGAAATTTTTTTAGAATACAGGCTGCACCAGAAGAATAGCGTTGGGGTTGTCTTCGCTTCTCTGCTGGGAATTCACAACTCACACATCTTACCTGGTCATGGTCAATGTCTGCATCTCCTGTGATGACGATTCGCTTCTCAATTCGTGTCTCTGAAATGCCTCCTTTCACAGTCTGAAGGAAACAAAGAAGCAAGTAATCTATTCACTAGCAGGAGCCATTATGCTCCACAGGGGTCAGGGCAGAAAATGGTGACAGTGTGCAGTCCCATCTAAAACAGGAGTCTATGGTGGTTATGTAACATGTTTAATTCTGAAAGGAGGATAGAGTGGAGCTCTTTGGGTTTGGTGACCAGTATTTCTGGTAGGACTGCTCCATGTCCAATACCAGAGCGAGCAATTAAGCACAGAATAGTAGAAAGAATATTCCAACCCAGAAAGCAGCACATGAGACAAATGCTTGGTAACTATGGAAGTTGGAAAGCTCCCCAGCAGGCAAGTAACTAATGGCTTGCAATTTGTCAGAGGTTGTGAGCAAGCTTCTCTCTTGAGCTCTCAAGGAGCATGCTAAGGGTTCTCACTTCCCCACTTACTTTGGTGATGTGTGTGGTGGTGGTGGTACTGGTAGTTTCAGATGTGATGGTCTGTGCACTCATTAGCACTCCTGGCTCCAGATCAGCCCCAGAATCGACCTTAGCAAGCAAACAGATGTCACAGCCAGGTGTTTACATTTCCTTTTCATGAGTTTGCTATGTTATTTAAAGCATTAGTGATTCAGCCCTCTGGATACACAGGCTTTACATCTAGGGATTCAACTAACTACAGATCAAAATAATCAGAGAAAAACAGTCTGGGCATGGATAGAAGTTGTGCCTTAAACAATATAGTATAGCAATGATTTGCATAGCATTTACATTGTGTTTCGTGCTGAAAGTCATTCTGAGATGACTTAAAGTACATAGAAGGATGTGAAGCTGAGCATCTAAAGATTTTGGTATCCATAGGGGTTCTGGAACTCATCCCCCACAGTCAGGTTGGACTCTTTCCCCTACTCACTTCAGGTCAAACATAAATGGGACTTGTTCCCAAGAGAAAGAACTAAGCAAAGTCAGAGTTAATGGTCCTTAAAAATAAGTGCATTCAGGGGCTGGGAAGGTGGCTCAGTGGTAGAGTGCTTGCCTTGCATGCCTGAGGCCCTGGGTTTGATTCCTCAGCACCACATAAACAAAAACGAAAAAAGCCGGACATGGTGCTGTGGCTCAAGTGGTAGAGCGCTAGCCTCGAGCTGAAGAGCTGAGGGACAGCGCCCAGGCCCAGAGTTCAGACCCCACGACCGGACCCCCCTCCCCCCCAAAATAAGTGCATTCAAAATGTGAGTATATTTCTTTATCTTTGGCTACAGGACTAGTCTTTTGAATTTCCCTTGTGTTTTGAGATACTGGGAGTCTGGTTAAGTCACTTGCTGTTCCATGGCTGGCAGCAAGACCATGATTACCGTACTGTTCTTGACAAACGATGGCATGGCTGTGGGGTCCTGTCAAGTCTCCTGAGCGAAACATTGTGCGGTTATACCAGAATTCAAAGCCACAAAAGAGAGTCAAATGTAAACTTCCAGGACTCAGGTCTTCATAGATTGTCATACCTGGGATGATTCATACGTGATGGTTTTTGTTTCTGTGTGGACCACTGGCACTTCCTTGGTAGAAATGTCTAGCTTTACTCCTCCTGGTGAAATGCTGCCTGAACTCGTGGTTTCCATCTTCACAGTTGAAGTCTGTGTCAATGAGAGAAGTAAGCAAGGGGTTATTATAGCATCTACAAACAGTTTTGTTTTTCTTTCTAATCCTTGATATTTTAGTACTTGATAGAAGTACAGGCTAATGTGAAATGTTTATACATTATATGGTGTGGCAAGTTGAGAAATGAAGCATAACATAAATATAGATCAGCCTGAAATTACACTGCATTTCTCTTTTTTGAACTCAGTATCTAGTGCTTGCTAGGCAGGTGCTCTGCTGCATGAGCCACATTCACAGCCCATTTTTCTTTAGTTAAGTTTCAGATAGGGTCTTGTGTTATAGTCTGGCTAGGCTAAGATTTCAGTAGTGTTATTTCTGCTTTCTTTCTGCTTAGCTAACAGACACACACCACCATGCCCAGGTTATTTTTTAATTTATTAAAAGAGGTTTCACAAACCTTTTGCCAGGTCTTAAACCATGATTCTATAGTTTTCAGCATCCTAAGTATCTGGAATTACAGTGTGAGCCACTATATATATAGTTCCACTGCATTTAAAAATGGAATGTTCTAGGTAACAAAAACATCTTACACGAAATTTGAAGTAAACTGTTTTGTTTGTAAGTTCCTCCCTCTCAATCTCACATGTACTAATCGTAAAATAGAATAAAACCATAAACAAACTTTTTACTTCATAACTTAGAATAAAGGAATAAATATATAAGCATTATCCCTGACCCCCAAACACTTTGAGAATATGAATACAAGGTGATAAAGAATAGAGTTCTGGCACTTAGACCTTGGGTGGGCTTAGTTTTTGGCTCCTCTGAATGTGATTGAAAATCAACTTTTCTAGTATCTTGGCTCACCATGAATTCTTCAGCTCTACTACCAATTTTAAGTTCAATAATAGAAACCACTTCCTGAAGCATTATATTATTGATAAGCAATAGATCTGTTTGCATGTCAACCCAGAGCAGAAAACCAGCATGAGAAGCCTACATGCTATGCAAGAATGGAGTAAGACAAAAACCAAACCAACCACACATGCAACAGATAGAGAATTCAATTCAGTTCCACTGTTACACTGACCTAACATTCAGAGCATTACTGTTAGTTTTTTTAATTTTTATTATGAAAATACCATACAGAGGAGTTATAATTACATGGACAAGATAATGAGTACATTTCTTATCAAGCATTGTAGCTTCCTCCTTTGTTTCCCCTTCCTATCCCTTCCCATATCCCCCCTCCCCAACTATGTTAGTTTTAATGCTTACAGTAACATTAACTACCACTTACCTCCAAGTGGGACTTTGGTTCTGAAACTTCAGAAGCATGGACTGCTGAGCCCTGCTCCTCCACTTGCTTGTGGGAAGCAGTGGCTGTCTCTTCCTGTTCAGAGGTAGCTTTATCGCTTCCCCCTCCTTCCTCTTTGGCCCCTTCCATCTGAGGAGAAGGCTCCCTCTCTTTCATACCGGAAGCATCCATGGACGTGGCATCTCCCACGTCCCCGGCATCCCCACTGGCATGGACATTCAACACACGTCTCTCCTCCACCTGCACCGTTTCCTGTACCACCTTCTCAGTACTGTGGGGCTGGCGGTGTGAGGTGGTGGTTTCCGTCTCCATTTCACTGGACTCGGTTTTAGTCTCTACTTTCTGTGAGGGAAGATTATGGTGTCCATAATCAAAGATCAAAATAAACCTCAAAACTCTAGAGACAACATTCGCTGCCTAAAGTCAACAGCAAGTGCTTATAAACACAAACACTGATAAGAAACATGAACCGGCTTTCATTCCTCCTGTTAGAAGCTCTGATACAGGTCATCCAACACACCAGACCCAGTGATGGTACATCAGAGCATCCACAGAAGAAAGAGAAAACAGTAAAATATGCAAATAAAACATAACAGAGCATCTAGTACCTTCACGGTGGTTTTGCCTGCCCAGTTTCTTAGACCCAATGAATGAATGAGACCCAACGTTTCTAAGTATCAAATGCTATGAAAAATTTTCAACATGCTTCCATTATGGATACGTGAGGTACATTCTTGAAATAGAACAAAACACATTGGACAACCATGCAAACAGGTACAAAAGACAATCACAGAGGACATGTGAACGCAAAGCTTCTTAGATGCAAAACCCAGGTACCACCCACCCACCACAAAGACACAAAGCAAAGCAAATGGCCACATAGAAAAACACTGAATAAGGAGCAAAAGGCCACCTGGACCCAGCTTTGGGAAGTAGACGTGACCCCTCCTATGAATTCTGTTGGCTTTCTTGCAGACTCTAATAGACTGAAGATTTCAGAGCCATCCATGAGCTTTTCCCCAGAAGACTGCTTAGTCTGAGAGAACAAAGAAACAAAGCAAAGTCAAGCACGAGAGAAAGAGAGAGGGAGCGAGAGATACGTTCAAAGCTTGTTAGAATCAAGGCAGAGGAAACAGGGAGGAGGAATGAGGAATCCACCATACAGAGTTGGAAAACAGAAAAGAATGGTAAATAAAATAGCAAACGAGGGTGACCATGAGCTCTTGTTTGCTAAAGCAGAGAGAGTTATTAGGATTAGGGTGGTGCTGATTTAAGCAAACCAATTTTTCCGCCTTTCATTGCAAGCTACAGCAACATTGTCACATCTTGGGAAGGGAAGCTGGAAATAAAAAATAAAGTGTTTTAATGCTGACTTTGAACTGCAGTGTTGATTTAACTAGGAAATTAAAAAAAAACAAAAAACAACCAAAAAAGCTGGGTTGGCTGCTTCCAACATAAAGCCAAGCAGCAAGAGAAACGGGAGGGTTCAGGGTGTAAGGGTACTGCCTCAAAAGATGTCATGCTGGAATCTTAAGCCGATTGAGAGCCACTGGTTACCACTACTCGAGATGCTGACGACTCAGTGACGTAATGAGCAGTAGCAACTGTGAAGGCCGGTTCCTGGGAGTATCTCCACTCCGACAGGCTCTTCCTTCGGGGACCGAAGAGTCCCACTTTCAAGACTTCACTGTCTTGTACCTGCTCCATCTTGCTGGATCGCTGGCTGTCCGTGTGGAGGTGAGTGGATACATCCTGGCTCAGCATTGGAGTCTTCTGAAGTTCATCTTCTTCAGGACTCTGCCTCCGAGACTCCGCTTCCTTGATGGGTGCCAGGGATTCTGACAATTTTCGCTTTGCACTTTGTGCCTCTGGGCCTCTCTTGGATTTCTCATCGGAAAGGGTTTCCAGGACTTCATACTCTGCCAGGACAGGGCCCACCTTCCCTGATTCTGACACACCTCTCTCCATTTTCTGCAGAGCTTCCAATGTGGAGGGCTGAACCACTCCTTCCCCCTCTTTACCTTTCCCAGTCATAGTAACAATCCTGCCAGAGACGGTGTCATAGGATTTTCCAAGTGTGTATATTTTTTGCTTGCTCTCTTCTTTCAGTTGCATTTCTTGGGCCAAGTCATCAAAGCTATGCATTTCAATAGCACTAGATTTTAGCACTTCGGCAGGGAGGGCACTGTCACCAGTTCTACTGCTCAACATCACCACCTTGTAAGTCACGATCTTTTTCAAATCACCATCAACTACCTCAGTGGGTATTTTGTCTACAATAACCCAATCCTCTGTGCCCTATATTTGAAATATAAAAGCTAAATTAGATATTATGATGGCAACTCACTTCTAAAATAAGAATCCTTTAAGAAAATGAGGGTGAGAGCTACATGCAGGTTTGTAGTGGGATTGGATCTAGTAATTATGGCTGCAATCTTTTCTCATCTGAGTTGACTACAACCTTCCATGTGGAATACATTTTGGGAAGCAGGCTTGCAATTTCAGATTTCCTTAAATAGGAAGATGGTCTGATGGCGAATTTCAAAAGAAACATACTGGCCCTATGGTACAATGATTAATGTGCATTTCCAGATTAGATAACATTCCTGAGGTCACTGTACAAGTCATTCAGATTTCCGTGTGTGAACACTGAAAGTATAGTTTTCCATGTTAAATATAGTACGATAGCCTCACTACTTGCCAACACTATAACTTTCTGTAAATACCATTTTACATGTTAATAAATTGTACTTCTTGACCTAAGGAAGTCAATCCATGTAATAATAATCCCATTGGTGGGACACTACTGGATTCTTGTATAAATGAGTCTTAGAGGTCTGTACAGTGTTCCAGTTTTAATTATAACGGAAGTCCATTGTCTGCGTAGTTTCATTTCCACTTTCTTTAGTGTTAGTTACAAGGCAGTGGATAGTTATGAAATCTTTGCCTTCGGGAAAATCTGATAGGATGTGATAGTTTAATGCTGACCCATCTCCTATGTTATAGAGGACAGGAAATGCAACCCAGGAACAGATAAATGCCTTGGTTCACATTTTAATCTAGTATGCTCCCTATTTTTGTATTGGTTATAACCTGAATTCTTGAATCAAAATGTATGTTATGAGAAAAATGTGTACAGAGATTGATGTACATGTCAGTTGAGTTAAATGATCTTAATTGAAAAAATAACCTCTAGGGTGGATGGAATAGTTTTCTGGAAAATTATTTGATGAGACGTAGACACAGATTCTGCTGAGCCTCCTTTCTGGATTTTCTTAAGCATACTTGGCTAGTGGGAAAACCAATACAAGTTCAGAATTTCCAAAATCAGTCAAGGTCATCTAAATTAGCACCATTCTGGGTGAATACAGACAATGAAAAGTTTTACTGAGATTTCTATCAAGATAAGCAATAATAAAGCTTCAGTGGTAATTTACAGACAGAATGACCTAGAAGTAAAAGTCATAGAGATGCTGAACCAGTAACTAACATTCTAAGAAAATTCCTTCCCCAGAAGCTATGGCAATGTAACAAATCTACCTTAGTTTAAAACAAGAAAATTTCTAAAAGATAAAAACAACACTTTCATTAGACACTGATATTTGAAGAACAATTCTTTTTGGAGAAATCCTTTTTAATTTTTTTTTTACCTGAGACCCAAGAAATGGAGAACTTCCTTGTTGCAAAAATATAACCTTTTCAGAACTTTCTCTTTCTTCTTTGGTCTGTTTGAATAGAAGGGGTTGGGTTGGAGAGGAAGTGGACAGGTAGAGAGTTTCCAAAAAGGCAAGTTAGGAAGAGTCCTGTCCTTTCATATATATATATATATATATGTATATATATATATGTGTGTATATATATATGTATATATATATGTATATATATACACATATATATGTATATGAGTAGATACACATACATTCAATCATTTATTTCTTTTTCTTTGCAAGGATATAAACTGCAAGGATATAAACTATTCTTTGTTAAATTCAGAAGGTAATGACCATTTCTGAAACTTGGGTATTCATGCAACATATTTCTACAAACACAGAATAAAAAAGAGCTATACACAAAGTTTCATGGTGTTTAAAGTTGTCTGTATTACATACCATCAAAGTCAGCACTAATGAAACAAAATGTGCGGAAATTAAAAAGTGTATGTTAGGAATCTACTCTCACTTCTACCTCTGATAAACATTTGGTGGAGTCCCCAATTCCTGTGCTGCCCAGTGTGGGGGAAGAGAAATGCCCACCAGGTTAGTGTATGACCCTTAATTTGAATAAACGAGTTGTACTTGCATTGACTCGTGTGTGTGTGTTTGTGCACTTGCCAGTAATGACTTGAACTCAGGGTATGTGCTCTTCTATGGCTTTTCTGCTCAAGGCTGATGCTTTACCACTTGAGTCACACCTCCACTTCTGGATTTTTGCTGATTAATTGGAAATAGGAGTTTCATGACTTTCCTGCTTGGACAGGCTTAGAACCTTGATCCTCAGATCTCAGACTCCTGAATAGCTAGGATTATAGACCTGAACCACTAGAGCTCAGCTTTCTACTTTTTTTTGGTACCATAAGTAAACTAAGCTTTAGTTGAACATTTGTAATATAGAGACTAATTTTTAAAAGTTAACCTCAAATATTTTTCCTTAAAACATAGAACTAAGAAACATTTATTTATTTATTTAATGTTGGCTGTGGGACTTGAACTCAGGGCCTAGGCACTGTCCCTGAGTTCATTTGCTCAAAGCTAGGGCTTTGCCACTTTGAACTATGCTCTATTTCTGGTTAGTTGGAGATAAAAGTCTTATGGACTTACTTCTGGGGCTGGCTTTGAATCTCAATCCTCAGATCTCAATTTCCTGAGTAGCTAGGATTATAGGCATGAAATACCAGCATCTGGCATTGCCATTAATTTTTAAGCTATTTTTAATTCCTCTGTTTGGTATTAGATAGGCATAACTCACATAGTGAGCCAAAAGTTGAAATCCCTTCATCTTACCAGACAAGGGGCAGAAAGGATATTTTGGAAAATTAAACTAAAAGTTAATCTGAGAAAACTAGGTTTCTAGAAGATTGGAACTCTTTAAAAAGATCTTATCATTATACATGTACTCATTACCTTACTCATGTAACTGTAACCCCTCTGCATACTATTTTTACAATAAAGCATAAAAAAGATCTTATTCTAAACAATATAATTTTATGAGCACAAACTTAAGTCTGTTTACTAATCTATCTGTAAGTATGATATTGAATCATTTATCAAGAGGTTGTAGGAGACCATCTGGAATGTTCTGCAGGACCTGCTGATAAATTTCAACAACACCATTCTCTGCTGACACTTTCTAATGTTAAATGAGTAACCTATTCTCAAAGGAGAAACAAATTCTTGTCCTGCTGTAATTGTGGAGGAAACTATTGGAAAAGACAAAAATGCACAACTGTTAAAATGTGGATCATTAAAATGTGCATTAAAAAACTCTTTCGATCATATCCTCAATTTTTCACACAGAATGGAGAAAGAGTCCAAACCGCAGATACTTTTCAGAATAATAGTACTTGACCTCTAATTATAATCACTGATCTAAATAACATTCCTAAGATAAAAGCTTTAAGAAAATGCCCAGTGGCATTTACCCAAATGCTTACAAACAAGACCACACTAAAGCTACCAGCACAACTATGTTTATTGCAGCCTTATTTACCATAGCTAAGATATGGAACCAACCCAGATGCCCCTCAGCAGATGAATGGATCAAGAAAATGTGATATATATACACAATGGAATTCTATGCCTCCATCAGAAAGAATGACATTG